TCCAAGGATGCCATCAAATGCGCAGCTGACAGCTGGCATATAGGGTTTCTTTTGTGTTCCTCCTCCTAACAGAAATATCCATAGATTGTAAGTTTTGAAAGAGCAGACATAGTCATTTCTCCATGAAATGTCATGTGCTTTTATTAACAAAGGCTTAAGAAATGCTACTCACCATAGAGGAATTTTGATGAGCAGAAAATCAGTTCCCTAAGTGGAATTTCGCCAAGACTGAATACAGTGTCCTGTCACACAGTTTCTAGATCTGTGGGTCCTTGGGAAAACAAAAGACAAGAGTCTGCAAATCTAAGACAAGGGCATGGCCCTAGCTCTTCGGTTTGATGGGTACAGGCCTGCATGGCATAAATGAACGTGTATCTATTGCAGAAGCTCCAGCCCATGCTACTGAAACATTTGTCAGTTGATCGGTAAGCTTTTGAGATTAGAAGATGCAGAGGAACAAAAATATTAAGAAACCACCATACCTCCCACACAGTCAGAGGATGAATCATTAAGAGGCCAATTCTGCAAAGTGCTCCACACTTCTCTGCAGCAATGCACAGGAAAAATTAAGCAACGACGTAAAACAAGAAAAAGCACCCTTTGCAACTGTCCCACCACCAACTGTTAGGAGCTATTCATTGCATTAAGGAGCACCTTCTTTTTTAATTCAGCCCACACATGTGGGTTCAGATGTCAGTAGTTGAACAAGTGATGTTCGAATTTAGCCCTGTCCACCTTTTTGATGATTCTTCCCAGCAACTGAAGGGTAGAAGTGGACAAATAACTGGAGAGATTACTGGCATCTGTTGTTGGCTTTTCGAGAACTAGCTGAACTACCATGTATCCTAGCATGACTGGTGCTTTTTCTGTCTTCACAAAAGGCAATAGTGATCAGGTTTGGCACGGGCCTAATTGCTTTGTACTAAATAAACTTGTGCCGTGCAAACCATTTAGACCATTTGTGGAACACGTGATGTGGAAACTATACCCTTATGCTATAGGAAGCAGGTGGAAAGCAAACCCGCATGTTTATTACTCACTCCTATTTGAGTTCTCATCAGCGTGGCATGCAAGAACGAGACTCTGCTGATGTGATCTACAGACATTCATTCATATTGAGATATCTTAACACCACCTCTTAATCTTCAAGCTTATTTCATCTCGTTTTGAGGTTGAAGCATGAGATGCAGATTTGTCTTCATGAGCTGGAAGCCTGAAATCGTTGATAACCCAAGTAGCAGGTTTCTAGAGAATAGCAGTAAATAATGTCACAAATACTTAAGAGAGGACAAGCAAGGAACATATTTAAATACTACTTCTTACAGGCCTCCCACCAAACAAACTACCACTTATTTTAAAGCCAGAGCTGCAAGTTTCTGGAAATCATAGTCAATGACTGGTCACTGGTCTTAACAGATATCAGTGAAATGGGCAGCAGTTTCATGGTTCACAGCGTTTCACTTCTTCATGCCCAAATTTTCTGGTTTGCCTTTTTCTTTTAAAATTAAAAGTGGTTATTAATTTACAGTAATACATTAATGTGGAGTGGGTTGGGGTTTTTTTTGTTTATTTGATTGTTTAAAGTGTATGGCATATTGTGTACTATTAAAAAAAATTTGACTAAAGAATTATGCAAAAGGCTTTAATAATTTAAATACTTGTTCAGCCATATGGAAATGTACAATCTGTTTTATGTTCTGTGGGAAACCTACAGTTGCTATAAACTTAATGAATTTTAAAACCTCCCAGTAATAATAACACTCATTCTGTTATAATTTGCCATACTGGAGATGTTTAGAGATGAGTCAGGGATACAAAATCAAAAATCCTCTATGGTTCAGGAGGATGCAGCACTGGAGTTTAGTCCCGCTATCTCTGAAAATACTGTCACTTCATCCTTATGTGAGGAAATGTCATCATAATATTACACAGAACGGAAGACATAACATAATAGTTTGGTTCGTTAGTATTTTTTCATTGTAATGCTTTATAAAAGAGATAAAGCTGAAGAAAATAAAAACAGACATGTAAATATTACGATGAAGTACATTGTTCTTATTTAAATACATTTCCTTGAGTAGTATCTTCTTAAAAGGAGAAAATTAACCACAAACATTTGTCTCACTGTATAAAAGTGACGGTAGTAATTATGAAGAACCCAATGGTCTTATGCTTATTTCATCCTATTCTTAAGTTTTCACAGCAGAAATATTAAAATTTGCAATATTACCAAAAAGATGAAAACCTGTCAAATATATTACTCTGAAGTAAATTAACAATTAATTTATAGGAACCTACCATAAGAACTAGTAAGTGGACAGTAGTAATGGTTTTCTATATAAAATCTATCAAAAATTGTTGGAGAAAATATACGAAGCGTAGCTGATAGCTGATGAAATCTGCAATATGGCCACAGAGAAGTAAGTTGCAGATCATCAAAGTTAGCTCTTGTGCAGAAACATCCACCACGAGTCCATGAATTTCACTATTCACTGGAGAACAGCAGGAGGTTTCCATAATGCAACCATCATCGGAAACTGATTCAACGCTGTACTTTAAGCTTTACCCGTAGTTGGAACTTGCAAGAGTTTAGATTTTTTGGTGCTCTGATCTCTCTTGCTCTCCGGAAGGCTACGTAAATATAAAAATCTTGAGCAGAAAGACAACGCTCTCTAAAGCACTGGCAAGTGGTCTTAGTAGAAGACTGTTCAAAAAAGGAAAGGAAAAAAAACAGATTTAGCTGGACTGGTAAAGCAATATTGATAAAGCAATACAGTAACACTCTAGACACAACCCAGCAAACTAGGTCATCGTTAGAAGCTGAGAGATTTGTGGTCTATGCCCTCAAGACACACACGCCCATAAACTCATGGAGCTCAGAGGACCCTTTGCAGATTTAAAGGTGCTCATCTAAGCGATTTTTAGCCTGAGTCAGCAGCCAAGGTCTTGCACCAACAAAGGCAAAATGCACTTCCAACTATTTTGAATATCAAAACCATCAAGTGATTGATTCTACCCAACCTCAGGCATTTAACTAAAGCATCTATGCAAGGACCTAATTAACCCAGGCTCTGGTCATCAACCATGGAAAGAAAGCTGCAACCTCAAGAAGGTGCTTTGGTCTTGTCCAGGTCAAGCGTGGCAGTGTTCCTAGCTTAGATATCCCAGCTGGGTTACTGAAATTAGGCATGATGACCAACTCCAGGTCTCCCTGTATATAATCAGTGTATGTGTGTTCTGCTCTACTGGACATGCATCCAGCACTGGTGCCAGCCAGAACTGTTTCTGGCTCTTCACCTAAATTAGGAAAGGGTTATGCTTCCTATGGAAAGCAACTGGCAGCTTCCCGTCCTCCCCACTGGCTAGACACCAAAACTGTTCCCTTTTGAAATTTGTCAACGTTTTTTCAGTTCAAATTCTGAATGGAAACTTAGCCTGGTTTATTTTTCTTCAGACATGAACTTGTAAAGGACTTTTTTTTTTAGTTAGTTAGTTGAAACTCTTAAGTGAGGAATAGAGCCTATAAATTTTCACTGTCCTATTCTGGCCTGTGGAGAACAAAGCCCCACAGATTCTCTCCCATAGCAGGAGGAAAGCTCCAGTGATTTACCCAGTGGGTGCCTCACTTTGGTCCTCAAGGTCCTCCCCAAAATGGAGAAGATGTTTTCTAACTGCAAACGACTTGTTCCTGGGAAAAGCTTCGTCTGTACAGATGCTGGTCTATGCACTCCTGATGCACCTCACCTCTCATGGGAGGTCTTAGTACTGCTGCAGGATTAGCTGTGGTACACTTGAAGGTGAATACAAGGACACTTGATTTTTATTCATTCCCAAATGGGGTACTACAGAGTTTCTGTGCTTCTCACCTCTCACCAAGAAGGTGACTTTCCCCTCTTAATGCAAATGTAAATTAAAATTTACACTTGCACCACTGAGAACTGGCCCCGGTCCAGCCTTTAGAAGAGTTAAGCTGCAGCTGCAGAAGTAACCGGACGATTCCCAGACCACCCGAGAGCAGCACAGGGAGCATTGCCACCTTGTTTCTGTTCAACAAATACATGCCCAGCACATAACGTTAACTAAGGCATACTGTACCTCCAGCTGTTTGGATCTTGATGTGTTTATTTCCTTCTAATCTTAATTAGAAAACAAAAGGTAAAGATGGTTAAAACATTGTAACATCACTAATTTAGAACACCACTTAAAACCCCCATGCAACAAAGGTACTACTGTTCCAAAACCAGTCACTTGTTATGGATAATAGTGTTACTTTTCTTCTTTTTTTTTTTGTTTTGCAGCAAATTCACTTGTTATGGATAATAGTGTTACTTTTCTTCATTTTTTTTTTTTTGTTTTGCAGCAAAATTTGGAAGCACCAGTCAGTGACTAAGCTCTATGGGGTACGTATGTGACAGCAGCATTTTGCTGCATTAAATCTAAACAATTATTACATGATTTCATAAATACATGTTTATGACTCGTCTATTAAGTACCAATAAACCTAATGCTTTTTCCCGCTGTTCGAAAACATCACATGGAAAAGAAACAGTTTGCACTGGGTTTCATATAAGAACATAAATAAACCTGAAAGCAAGCGCTTACTAACCGTTATTACTGGAATTCACCACAATGCAAGTAAACACCTTCAAAACTAAAAATAGTGCGGAGGCTCTGCAAGCGTATCTATCAGCCTCTTACTCCTAACAGGGCTTTGTTTTCTTTGAATTCGCAGAGCACTCAGAGCGTGGAGAGGCTGTTCAGAAGACAATGTACCACATTGTCAGCATCCGCTCTTGGATCCTTCTGCAAAAGTAAGTGTGTTAAAATTTAAATAAACGGGAACAATCACTTTAATGATTATAAATAGCCCCACTGCCTTAAGAGGCTCCAAGGCTAGCCAGTCTGTCTGAAAAAATAATTGATTTTTAAAGGAAATACATCCTAGCAGATAAAATTAAACTGAGAAAGCAGGAGAAATGCAATACACAACCTTCCAATACCTTTTGGTGCGGCTTTCGTCTGACTGGAAACCATGGCAGCAGCATCCGACGGCAGGCCAACGTACACGCCACCATAGTTCCTGATTTAAAGAAGCAATCAGAGACATCAGAGCTTAACTGTAACACTTCTCCCTACAATGTTGACATCACGCAGCAGCATTACGAAGACGATGGATGGTCAGAGAGGAGGGCACCTCCACACAAGGACCCTCAGAGGAGCCCTCCTTTCCCAAGGCTACGGGAAAAGTGCATATTTAATGCCACATGCTTGCTAATATGGTGCCAGGCAAAAAAACCTTGAGGCTAGCTGTTGCTCTTAAATGGGACCAAAGCCTGTGAAAGGAGCTATTTTTCACTCAAGTTCCTAACATTTTTCATTAAACCCCAACTGTGTTGTGACAATAAACCCCACTGGCCCAGCCTCTTCTAGACACTAAATACATCCAACAGAGGACAGAGCCAATCTGATAGCAACATTTGACACTGGGACCACGGAAGCACCTCACTTCAAACAACGCACCCCAATTAAACAGCGCTTTGGCCTCACCTCGTTAATGAGCATCCCCCTCCTTAGGGCCACACTTGGAGAAAACTCTCAGTAGGAAGGAGCATGAGGGTGCTAGGTAGTTTCCCAACCCTCGCCCCTTCATGGCCTTGCAGAGCGTATTTTCTGGCCCCAGGGCCTGTATGAAAAGCAGGGACTGATGCAAGAAGGTGAAAAACTAGGTCCTTAAGAGCTTCTGCTCTGCCTGGAGCTATTCAGAGAGACTCCTATTATGCTGCTCTGCCCCATTAGGTGCCAAATGAATCGTGCCTCCTCCAGCCCCTGTGGCTCTGAGTTGATTTCTGATTTGTTTGGTGATAGAGTCACATTGCCTTTGATATCCAGCCCAGCGGAGATCTCCTACAGGTGCTAATGCCATCTTCTGTGGCGGGGCTGGGGTGAAGGCAGAGGTCACCAGCCCCTACCGAGCACATTGCCTGCCGCTGTGGGATAATGCGCTCTTCTTGCCACAGAGTTCCCCAATCTCCAACTCACTAACAGGGTGGGGGGACTCATCAATACTGGGTTCTGTGTGAGATCTCCTCCTTTTGTTCCTTTTTCTCTGCTTTGGTGGTGGTGGTGGAATTAGGAGGAGGAGAGGAAGGATGTACGTCTGGCAGCAGAGCTCTCTGCAGCCCATTGCAAGTAAAGCCAGTCCCAGTAGAGCACCTACCTCCTTTTGTCGTCATCTGATACGGATTCTTCTGCTCTGTAACATCAAAAGATATAAAGCACATTAGCAAATAATTTCTTTCAGATACTCCATCACCATCTGGGTAGATTCAGGAGCAAGGGAAGAAGGGGATTAATACTGATGCTGGTTTAATTCAGGTCATCCACAATTCAATAAAGTATTCACACAGGCAGAAAGAAAGTGCCAATTTTCCAATCTAAAGTACAGAAGAAAGAAAAGGATTGAGAACAGATGCAGCTTAGTTTTCATGACCCCCACCAGTGATGCCTGAAAGTAGGTTTGGGAGCTGAAATAGGTAAATTAACACTTTTCCTGAGCGAGTCCCCAGCCTGCTCCACACGTAACAGGAACACGAAGACTCTGCCGCGTAACAGGAACGAGTCTGGGCTGCTATTCCACCAAAAGAGGACTGGAAGGGACTAGGCATCCGTGCTGGCATGGGAATGAGGATGAAGAAAGATAAACTTTGACAGCAGCTGTGCCAAAAGATGTTACAGAGCCTCTCCATGAAATGAGGTACTGTAATTCCTGAAGTCAGAGTTGTTTGCAAACCAAATAACTGTTACTAATCCTTTATAAATGGGCAATTACTTGTCTCTTACCTTTAGGGTAAAAACACAGGTCAGTCTGTAGGTCTATAGGGAGTTACTCCGGTTTGACTTCCCCCACTGAAATACTGTCCAGTGTAGCTGAACTGGTGCAGGGGGTAAAGTAATTGGCATTGACGTGAAGGCAAATACAGTATGGAAAAGATAAAAATTTTATCCTTACTCCCTGAGGGTATGGTGCCTGTGCTGCAGTCTCAGTCTGTGCCCCAGCATCAGTCTTCACACAAACCACTCACCCACCTTTGGTTAAATATTTGGACTTTGAGCTCTGCTTGCATGGCTGGTTATAGATTGGCGCAGCAGCTACGTTTTAGCTTGATCTGCAACCTACCAACCTAGCAATAAAAACAGAGGCAAGATAATTTGAGTGCTGGTAAATGCAGAGACATCCTTCACCCCTTCCCTACAGCTGGGGGCAACTGTGACAACTGCCTGAGAAGGAGACCCCCAGCGTAGCTGCGCAGGGGGCCATGAGACACGGCCACAGCGGTGCCCAGGGAAGGCCACCAGCAAGGGGGCACCACGACCCAAGCAGGGCTCTGCTGTGGAAACACTTATACACAGGCTGTTCACCCAGATATCCTCACCTGAATACTCCCACTGAAGGGCCAATTGCCTGGACTATGGGGGGGTAATGCAAAGATACTCCCTGTCATGAGCTCATCCATGAATTTCTGATCTGCTCCCCAGGCAATAAAACTGAGAACTGTCCTTTACCCAGTGTTAGGGCTGAATTTATTTTGTAGCCTCAAAAGGCATTTCTGAACTATGATATTTAACAATAATATATGACATTTCTTATTGTAATTTATTTATTCTAAGGGGTAGCTGCGCCTACTGGTTAATCGTCAGGGCTGTGTGCCATTACTGACCCCTGAAGTCAATGGCATTTTGGCCCAAGGTGCAGAGAGCTCATAGCAAGATGCAGCCTCAAATGTAAGAAAATGCCCCTTAAATCTCAGTCAGCGCTCTCCTGGGAGGCTGGCAAATGCCTTAAAAATGCTATTACGAGTTGGAAATTATCTTACATTTATCTTTCTAAGTGGCAGAACATTACAAACTCTCCTTTCTGCATCACCACAGTGAATAAGGGTACACAGGTCCTTTCAATAGCAGAGGTTTGGGGTAAATTTAAGTATGCTGCAGTTTTGCTAAATAATATCCACGCCCTGCATAGCACTGAGTGGGGTGAGCCTCCTCGTCTGCTGTCTTTGCCTACATCTTACCGCTCAAGAGAGATGGAGCAATAAAATTCTTCTCTGGTGCTCCTGCCACTCCTCCCTGGAGGAGCTAGTGCCATTTCAGAAGGCATCTCCCATCTCCTCTGACCCCATGTAGCCCGAGTCACCTCACAGTCCTCACACACGTAGCCAGGAAAATGCAGACATCAACTTTCCTCAAGGACTGTGAAGATGCTCTGCCCTAGCATGGGCCAATTCCAGCTGAAAAAAGCAGAGAGCCTGTGTATATCAGTGGGTAGAAACAAGCCCTGCATTTTTAGCAAAAAAAAAAAATTACTTTAAAAAAGGGACTTTTGGAGCCAAAAGATCACAATCAATCATTTCTGTGGAACCAACTGAATGTGTCACAGGATTGATTTTCTCATACAACTTGAAACATTTTCTATAATCCAGATTAACCATTATCCAGAGAAAATAATCCTTTAAAAGCACTGGCAACTTCATGTGCAGCTCAAAACCTCTAAAATGGAGTTGTAAGAATAATAATCAATATTGTCCAACAGGAAATTAATGTCTTTTTTTTTTTTTTTTTTAAAAAAAGCCTCTACTAGGCAACACAGCTATTTTCTTCTGTTCTGGAAATGTTTTGTAATGGGGCATCACTGGAACATTGCTGTCATTCTCTCACCAAAACAAATTATCCAGGTCTTTGATTAAGCAGATTTGGTTTTCTTAAACATCTTGCTTTCTTCCTTTCCTCTTAACAGTTACAAATCAAAGTCTAATTTTGCAATACCTTTTCCCTTAAATGCACAACAGCAAATATAATCTGGGATTGTACAGCCCACAGCTCTTGGTCTGGGTGATGACTGGGTGCAATCTCTTGCAATCCTGCTAGGAAAAATGAGGTGAACAGAGACAGAAGGAACATGGAAGCATGAGAGGGAAAAGAAAGAAAACTTCTGGTGATGGCACTTAAGGAAGGAGCCATTTTCCACCCCTTTCTGAGGACTCCTTTCTAAGCAGCATGGGAAGGAGTGCTGCTCCAGTTTATGCCCACTCACACACCTCTTTTCTTCACACACTGTAGCTTAAGGCCCCATTTTGAAAGGCGTCCACTAATTTCACATGTTCAGATGTCCAGGTGCCACCTGAGCCACTGCGGCAGGTGCTGCTTCTGTGCCCAGGCTGGGTGAACACAGGTGGCTCTGGGGAGCAGGGCTGCAGTGGCCACACTGGACCACGTGGAAGCTCCTTTGGTTTCGGCAGTGCTCCCATTGCCACATCTCCCAGACTCACAGGGAGGGTATGGGGATATGGGAGTCCAGCACATCCCTTCTCTCTCCCTCTCTACCTCCAATGCATCTTTAGCTTCTTCTTATGTCAGGGATGAAGGAAGAACCTAGCATAAAAAATATCTTTCAGTATCTCCATTTACAGAGTCCTCCACGAAGAGCAAGCTAGGATAAGCTTTTCTGCACCAGGAATAGATGGCAAAAGGAACTTAGAGCCCAGTGTGCTTTGTACGGATCTGCTGCCATGTCGCTGCATCTTCCCTCAGATGTTGTTGACATCTGCTGCAGAGGAACTGAGAGCAGGGTTTTCAGCAGGTAGCGTAGGTGGAGTCCTGTAGTCGGTAGGCGGATTTAACAGCAAATCCACATAACAGTATTCTATTTTCAGCTAGAATAAATGTTTCTTTTGGTAAGAATTTGTCTACCCCAAGAGGCTTCCTGTCACCCTCCTAAGTCTGAAAAATATACTTGCTTCAACTGTCTTTCTTTACATCCATCAGTCCTATGTCCCTTTGATGGTAAAAGAAGCTGCAATTTTTCACATAACGCTTTAAATATCACCTGGCAGGCATTCGCATTAATTCATTCCATCCATTTTCTTACCTCAGCTTTTATGGCTCTGTTTGTGCCGAGCATTATACAGACTCTTTCTAGCCGTGCTCAGTAGTCCCACCAGAAATGATTCACTAAACTTTGCACAAGTGACAGACTACTTCTCAGTTTCTCAGCGTTTCTTGGGATCAAAGGCCTGCCATTTGTATTTGATGGATTTCTTCCCCATATTCTGAAGCAGGCTTGAACCATCCTTTCCTTCCCACTGCTACTAATCTTCCTCTGAACTTAGCAACAGTCTGAATATCACCGACACTGCATTATTTTCTAGCATATACTTCACCCCTCCTATATCTAAGGTTTTCCAGTTAGCAGTGACGTACTTCTCTTTCTCAGTGGGACAGGAGCGCTGGCTGAAGCTGGCCAACAGATTCACCATTGATTCGAGGGCTGGAGTACACAGGGAGAGATCACATCCCCAGACCATACGTCCTTCTAGTTGCTGCACGGCCTTCAGTCTCACAGCACTTTGTGTAGGAAGATCATCATATCATCATCCCTGTCTCACTGGTGGAGCAACTCAAGGCCCAGAGGGCAAAGCAGCTTCCTCACGGCCACCTGGGAGGGCTCAGAGCAGGATCCAGCCCTGCCTCCTTCCACCCTGCTGCTCACTCCAGGAGATGCTGGTGCCTTGGCAATGAGTGGCAGTAAAGAAAAGAGAAATCTCTTGAGTTGGAATAACTGTATTCTCTGTCAAAAAGTATGATGTAAGTAAGGACACACCTAAACGCTTTTCTGGACCAAAGTCGATACAACTGAAATTAAATGGAGAAAAAAAAAAGTGATTTTTTTTTTTAAAGATTTTTTTTAAAATCTTTAGCTGATAAAAGTGAAAAAGGTGTAAAATAAAAGCTTGTGTGGATCTATAATGTTAGTTAATACAAATCTCTTCGTCTCCATGAAACTGAAATAGTTTTTTGGGTATTCTACTTCCTTTGTAAAAATCTGCTGTTGAATGTTAGGATGATTGATTTAGGTCTTTTCAGGTCATCGCTGCCATTCCTCACTAACAGATCTGTGTTTCTAACGTCGGATGAGAAGGCTCAACCACGCTATTACTCACACAGGTTGTTCCACTGCCTCTACTATACGTATCTGAATGAGTAATAGTTCCAGGATTGACCCTTTCCCTTTGTTGAAGTCTGCACTAGTAATTAGTTTTTTCTAAGTTATCCCAATACTTTTTTGAAACATGACAGATGATCTAACACTAACAAGTAGGATGTTCCCAGCTGAACTCCTAAAGCCTGGCCCTGAAATGCCTACACATCCATAAATGCAGTTCTACGTATAACCATACCTTTAAGCACAGAAATGTGCCTACTGAATTCATAATTCAACACGGCTTGCAATTTTGAAATTTAAAACTATCAAAGCCCAAAGATGCAGTTCTCAGTCAGTCACTTAAATTATCTAAATTGAACAACAAAAAGGCCCTGATATAAATTAAAAACAGTGGGTTCGTATGTATAAAATGCTGAGGGTGTGGATGCCGCAGGCTGTATCAAGCAGAGGTTCCTCATAACCTTGCCTTCTGTAATTTATTTATCGTCTGACACTGCAAGCCCAGAAAACAGACTGCACGGGTAGCAGAGATCTCAAGAGTATACGCGACAACAGCGTTCATCTGCCAAGTGAGACCTGCCACTTAGTTCTCAGCCGTGCTCTGCAATAGCAAGGACAAGCCTGTTGCTAAGCTCTTCTCTCACCTCTTCATCCGACTTGACAGCCCTCATTTCTACACCAGGATTCCTCTGTCTAATTAGAGTAGTTGTTCTAAATGAAGTAAATAAAACTGAAGAATGTTCCTATTGCATAACATGAAAATCTTTCCCAGGTCTTTCCCTCAGTCTCAAACTCTAGTGGCAAATACCAATACGAAACAGAAGAAGGCAAGACCTCAGGAGGACGTCTTTAATGCTTCCTTTGATAGAAAAATAAATTTATGGCTGAATAAAGCTGTTCCTGCACATTTCTACATCAGCAAATGAAAAATGGGCTGAGAAAGGCTGATCTTTTGCTGCTGCTTTTCTGAAAAACAGAAGCTGGCAAGAGGCAACAGGACAACAGAGGTTCAGACCTTTCACATTTAGAGAAAAACAGGATGGGTAGGGCTGCCCTCTGCTACTAGCATCTAAAAAAAGGGAGAGAAAGAGGAGCTGGCAGATGCTATCTGCAATGTGGAGAACACCTAGAGAAGGTGGGTACTTTGAAAAGGAAGTCTGGATGGGTTACCAGGTCTCTGGCAAATAGGGAAAATTTGCCTCAGTGGCTCTTTAAATCTCTCACAGGGCTTGGTGTAAACTCGTGTGGTCACTTCATACACTGACATGGCCTTTGGAAAAAGGTGTACTGGTACGTGACAGGGAAGAGTAGTCTGAAGTAGCATGATCACCACTGGGAGACAGCTCTCAACAGAAGCAGAGAAAAGACATTTCTGTTAGAGAAATAACAAGGGAAGGAATCTGCAGAAAAGTAAACAGGACTTGAAGTTGTTTTGTGGAGATGGAAGCTGTCACTAAAGACAATAAACATCTGGTGGCGTTGATTATATGTTAGGAGCCAGATGAATCATGTATGACTAAATCTAGTATAAGGCTAGTAGTACTGAAGATGAGTCCAGGGTTACATATTTGAAAGAGTAGAGTAAGTACTTACACATCTTTAGTAGTCCCTGTGGCACCTAGAATGAAAAAAAAGTTCATGTTTACAAGATAATGGCATAATCCTCTAAACCAACTGGTAATACAGTAAGCATTTTTTCTGTCTTTCTGTCCTAAACAACACAGAAATAGCAACAGGAATTTTCTGTTGTCAGAGAACAGGTTTCTCATGATTGTCTAGTTTATCCTTAATGATCATCTGTATTATCCCTTAAGTCTATCATGCTTAGATCTGGGCCAGGTTCTCAGTGAGTGAAAATGATGCTGCTGTGGACCAGTGCCCAGCTACAGTCACTCAGGATGAGAGCAACGTAAGAGAAAATTCATCCTTCTGAATGTTATGTGCTCCACTTTGCTCAGTCTTCCAGTGGCTTTGCCTGCTAGAAAGGCGCCGCAGCAAACCAAGCAGTTACTCCCAAATGCCTGTTTATTTTGTGCGCTTGCCATTCGATTCAGTTGTAGACTTGGCACCACACGTGTAAAATGCTGCTCCATTCTTCCTGCCAGATAAACAAAGTTTTATAAAACAACTAGACAGAGCTAATATAAACATTGGGCCACAATCCATCCAAAGCCCCAGACATCTAAAGAGATCAACCACCCCTTAATTCATCTTGCTATTTAACAAAAAAGCAAAAAGACAAAAGCTACCACCTGGCTGCCTGATCTGTGATCGATTTTTTTTTTGGTGACTCAGATGATTCTTGCTGGGAGATGGAACATTCACTCAAGTGCAAACTCTTTCCTATTCCTCCCAAGTTATTAATGCCTTGTTGCTATTGCTGGTGTATCATTCAGCTGAGTAACCAGCAAATTATCCCTTTGATTAATTACACAAGCTAGGGTAGACATTAGAAAACTTTTCACTTCTCCTTTTCCTCTTCCTCTCAGTACTTAGCTGGAAGAGGTTATCTATGAGCTCACTCAGAAGAAACTACAGTTGTCAATGCAAAAGATTTTATGGGTTTGGAGGTAGATTGAGGTTTTTTTAGCCATGGCACTTCATTTCTTGAAAAACTTTATTTTTGCTGCTGAAAAATATCCGTAAATAGCAAATATTTTTTGTCTCACTCTGATGTGTAAGAATATACCCTTGCATCCTTATTTTAAATGCAGGGCAGAAGAAACAGTCCTGCAAGACCTTCCAGCACTGACGACCTGAACGGATGGCTTGGATGGCAGGACACAGCTCCCTTTACAGCTAACTCTTGAACATAATATTGCTCCCAATTCCTATTACTTGGCTATCCCTCCTTTTCCCAGCAACAACATAGACTAGACTTGGATAAGACTGTACACATTTCTTCTGTCAGTATTGCTTCCAGAGTTGGTGAAATCTCAGTACAGCTATACATATCTGCAGAAACTCTTAATTAAGCTGGAGGGAGTACCTCTATGCACAATAAGCTCAGGTCCTCGCTTTAAAACTTTATTCCACCAGGCAGCTTTCTGAGACTTTTGGGGTCTATAGGCACATCTACATAGTACTACATATAAACCCTCCAAGTTGTGTCCAGGTGGAAAGCTGGCATTGCAGCACTGCATGCAAGCTTGATCTCAGCCGATGCAGGGAGACATTTTCTGCTACCAAGGTCAGTGCACCCAGACTCAGCTCAGCTGTGTACCTTCAGGGCACCACCCTGAACATCTAGACAGAGCCTAGGCACCAATAGCACCTCAGACAACACATGTTTTGAAAAGCCTAGCTCCACTGCTGTAGCTAGCAGGATTTTTTTCCTCTTTTTCCAGAAGAAACTATTCCTGTGCTGCACCTGTTTTGCACCAGAACCACAACTTTCTCATTTTCTCAGCCTAAGCTTACTGCAAACAAACTCAGTTTCTCCAAAAAGGTTCATGGTCCTTTGTGAGGTTTTTGCCGAGCCTTTTCTGAGTCTGAGCTGAGGTCTCAGAGCTTTGAATCCTCATTTGAAAAACCAACGCCTTCCTTGCAGGAAGCATACCAAAAGTAGAAAGTGTTTAATACACGAACTGAAACCTTAGCTGAGTGAGAAGAACTGTGTGCCTACGGTGGCGGTACTCCAGTTCCAGTCAATGACCAGACACACTTCAATGCCATGCCCGTGTTCAATGCATTCAACCTGTCCTCAGTGCATTACGGTACATGCACATTAGCACTCTGGGGATAGGAGCTGTCTCTCACCCCCATCAACTTAGGCTTTGTGCAGAGCTGTACAGCTATGAACCCATGTTTGAGCACGGAGATGTGCCACTAGCATTCACACCTGGCAGCACTTGTTTCCTTTGAATATTAGAGAACATTAGAATATTTTTCACTACTGAAAAATCACTGCAGCATTTTGAAATGCACCTCACACCAAAACATTGAGAAGTACGATAAAAACATATTCACTTTTTAAGAGATAATTTTTACTATTTATAATAAATAAACAAAACAGTTTGCTTCCTATTGTTTTTAGAAGCACGAAGAACCCCAAGTTACCCTCACTTCCACTGATGGGATTCCGTTGATCTCAAGTGATGTTATTTCTCATTTTTGTTAGCAAAAGTGAAACAAGAGCCTGGTCCAAATTCACTTCAGTACCACTAAAGTACTTGAATATAGATCGAAAGTATTTCCAGTTCACAAAGCAGTTTTCTTCCTGGAAAATTTCTGAGCTTGCGAATGAACATCACTTCAGTTAGGTGGCCCATAATTATGTAAAAACTCGTAAGATCTTCATTAGGGAGCCTGAACACTCCTTACACATAGATTTTATTTCACAAGGAACCCAACATCTCAGTTTGTACAGACGTGTTTGGTTTTAAAGTCCAATCCATTCACCCTCACTCCTGTTACTTCACTGACATATTTCTCTAACTCGTCCATGTTTAGTGAGTGACACATTATTTTATAGCTACTCAAGTTCCCCCTGCCAGAAGTTCAGCCAAAGAATCCTGTGCCACAGCAGCAAGGCATAGTGCTCTTGTAGCCACGATGTTTTAGAAATGACATGAGAAAAGTCTCACATATTTGAAAGCTTGGCCATTTTTTCCCACTATATCAGCTTGGCCTAAAAAAAGGCAGCACTTGGCCCTACAAACCTAGTCTCAATAGGCTCATGTTGGTTTGGTTTCCCAAAACCTGCCTAACCTCAGCAACAGACTGAGGGGTAGCCAGGCAGCTGTGTCTACAAAACACAGGCAGTATTGAGTTGTCCTGAATAACCTCTCTGCTTACACCACCTGTGTAGCAGGACCATAGGTGCATTTGGGCATTTTAGAGATGGAGGAGGAGGAGGAGGAGGAATATAGCCTGCAGAATAAACGAGGCACATCCAGACATACCTCACCCTGAGCCCAAGTGATTGCAGAAGAAAAACACTCTGTCTAGAGTTAGTGGAGCTGTGATCCCTCAAAAAAAACCCCATAGCATTTGAACAGTCACAAATGAAGGACAAAACCATATCCCAAAGCACCTTCCATTCAGCGAGAGGGGGGTTTGCACTTTCAAAAAAACAGTAGCTTGTTACTGGCGACCCTGCAGAATTTCAGTAACTGCAGGACAAATGCAAAAGACAGTTGAAAGAAATTGATAGCCACAGACGATACTCCTCTGTGCTGAGAAATGCATCATGAGTGAACACGGAAGAAAAAAACTTCAGGAAAACATAAAAAGGATGAGAGGCAACCACTTACATGCATAAAACCATGGATACAAAAAAATGCCAGTACCTGACTTTAGAGCAGATTATGAAATGTTTTTCCATTAATTTATAATGGGTATTTTCCTCCAATATTTTATTGCAAATACTTCAAATTGTTACAAAAAAGCAAGTTAAAAACTCAAAATTGCACGTACACACGTGCAACAGTTAAGATTACGAATGAGTTTGCTATTGTAGGCTCCTTTCTGATTTGCTTCAAAAGATAGCGGTATGGAACCAAATCTGATAAATGAATTTAAATGAAATTTAAATGAATGAATTTATTCTATTTATGCCTTGGTGTAACCAAGGACAGAATTATATCAATCTCCTTCAAACTGATTAATTCTTCAACACATCAGGTGGCAGCTTTGTGCATAGACTTGACCTGATCAAACATTAATTTTAAAAATCAGTTGGATTTTAAATAGAACGGCAGCATGGTTTCCTGGGCATTCCACCAAACTTGAAGTTAATAAATCTGTTCAAACTTGGTGTAAATTTTCTCTTTCATCATATTTTGGCTGTATTTGAAGCTCTCCACAGATTAACAGCTTCTCTGTATATTTAAATTAAGGCTAGACTGCCAGCCTCCACTGAGTACCATAATTTAAGGTGCTGTCATTGCTACTACAATTGATACAGAAAGGAGGAGGCAGTTAAAAACTGTTAGTGAAGCAACACTAGCATGAAGGGAAATACTTCATTCAGAAGAAAATGTAAATTAATGCTTAAGGGCATATTTTGAAAAGACCAAAAAAAGAACTATTTTGGAGCTTCTAAAAAAAAAAACCAGGAAATAACATGAAAGAAGGATATGTAAAGTGAGCTAACAAAACATCAGGAAAACAGCAATTTGGTAATAAAACTTCCTATGGGTAATGGGAAATGTAAAAATAAATATAATCCACATTTAACACATAAAATAGCTGGGTGACTGAAGAAGGATGTGTATCCATCAGTTTACTCGGATAACAGAAGTTGTCATACTTCAACTGAGGAGCCTTCTGCCAGTGTCTGATGCTCTGGAAGGAAAATTTAAACTCTGTGAGTTATATTGGTGTTCTGGAGTACTGCTCCACAGACAGAAATGTTATTCTAGATCACGTCTATTAGTTTAGATCTCACAGACCGTAAGGCTGATAGCTCCTCTGATCTCATTCCAGCCATGCAGCAGAAGATAATCTCATTAGCTGAACTATCATTACGTATACGTCTGCTTAAGAAAAATTGAGTTAGGCAACAATAGAAATTTTACCAGAATAAGAAAATGGGGACTAGCATAGCACGCCTAATGTATTCTGTGAAGTATGCTACAATATTCTCCTTAGTCATATAATATGACAGAGAGTGTAACAGGTTAATTATATGTTATGTACCTCTAGCTTTGACATTACTGACTGTAGAATAGTCATAACTTTAGCACGAAAGACGTAGTCATGCTGTGTAAGCCACAAAATTCATTTGTGTTTATGCAGTATTCACATCTTTTGGGAAAATATTCAGTTACACTTTCCTTAAGAGCTCTAGAATTCCAATTAAAAATGGTGCATCTTCTCCTTCCCCTACATAAAATAATTTTATCAGACACACTTTGTAAGGAATGCTAAGTGGAAAAAAATAAATAGTAGACATGTGACTTCCTACTTTTATCCCCAGTTGTTGGTTATTATAACACCGTAGATTACATAGAGTTATTCCTGACAGGCAGTGGTGGAAGTGAGAAAACAACTGGACCTTTCAGAGCTGTATTTACATAAGAAAGGTCCACTGAGTCAAAAGTAATAATTCCATTATACAAATTAAGTGTTTTACACAGCATTGGTGTTTTTTACCTCCGCTAAGCCATTGGAGATCTGTAGACTATTTCCAAAGAGTGTGCGAAATGCTACCACAAAATGCAAGGTCAAATGTATTATGGACAACAGTACAGGTAAGTTAAACTACCGAAGGGGCCCGCACCTTCAGTAAAAATAATTCATGAATCTACAAGCCAAACCTCATTAAAAATCAGCTGCCTTTAATGCAACAGTGGACGCATTGATTTAAACAAACAAACTTTTAGTTCAACATAATTCATTAAATACTACTGCTGTCAGAGTGAAGTCTATTTGGCATTTACCCATTTGTGTCCTGGTACAAGTTCCACAGGGTGGCCAGATCAATATTAATTGAGAAGCTACTACAAAGGGACTAATAATCAACTCAAAATTTTCCTCTGAACTTCTCTGATACTTGCTCTGGTGCTCTTACCCAGCAAACAGAAATGGGAGGTGAACAAGCATCATGAGGATATTCCCAGCAGCATGAAGCTATGTTGGTCATATACCGAAACCACTTCCAGTCACAGGAATGCAGGAATCAACTTTACTGCATGCAAACAGGGCAGCTCTAGTAAGAGTGCTGGAAGTTGAAGCAACTTCATATACTGCATTCTTTATGGATGAGAGAGGCCTCTGATAGATACATGATACCTAAACCCTAACTTACAATCATTTAACAGAAATCAAGTAAGCAATGAGGGCAGCAAAGCCTCCCCTTCGCCTATGAGAGTGAACTGCAGGGTTTAGCAGGAAAACCAGCAACACACCATGCAAACACACACATGTACATACAGCTTGGAGAAGGCATCATTCACGCTCAAAGGTAAGCCCAGTTCTGCAGATCAGACCTAGCACCGCCGCAGGCACCACTGAAGCTCCGGGTGAAGTAAACCAAAGCAGTGAGAGACGGAGACCCAGTGATGCCAACGGGTCCAACCACTGTTTTGCTTTCCTTTCTGAAGCGATTATGAAGCTAACAAATGTATGTGAGAGGCTTAATACAGGTACTGAAACAGGTGGCAATGTTTGCCAAGCGCAATGAGGATGAAAAATGATTGAGAAATGCTCCTATTTATAATTATACAGCGACGGTCCACTTCTCAATTTCCATCTACTTTGCTTTTTTGTGGGGGCTGAGGGGGAAGAGGAGCACAACAGCACCATCTTCCCAGGTCTTACTTCTTTTGAAAATAACCATGAGCAAACGAGGGAGCCAGCCAGACGCACCGGCCAGCGGTACACATTAACATGCAAGAAACCTCAAGCCTGGAATATCCTCCAACTTCTCTGGCAAGCGGAGGAGAAGAAGTGGCACAAATTCATTTCAGAAGTGGCGTTCGTGGCCTTATAGGGAAGCAAAGAGGATGG